TTCATCTAGATGAGAGTGTCATAAATTGGAATCCAAGTCTTTTTCTTCTTTTTCTTCTTTTTTTGTTTTTTGTTTTTTTTGTTTTTAAATATATATGGATTCGATGCTAAGAATAAGGAATCTGGATGAGAGTTTCAGAAACTGGAATCCAAGGTTGGAGTATGAATTTCCGAAAAAGCTGAGTAAATATGCCGAATTCAGAGATGATATTGCGGCTAAAATGTGAGTGCTTACCAAGTACGACCATAGTATAGGTAGATCAAAAAATATTATCAATAATTTCTTATTTTTCAGCCATCAGATATGTATTAAAAATTATATATTATGTATATTTTTTTAATCTAATTTGATTTTAATCAGATTGAGCGGGCATAAAACTGTACTTACCAGTAGGACGGCCTAATAGAGAAACTCCTTATAAAAATTCCCTAAAAATAACAACTTATTCTTTTGAGGGAAAAAAGTAAAAATCAACATAAATAGTTTTATGTGATAATATTATTTTGTATGATAAATTAACAATTGAATAATCAACATTAGTAAAAATTTACATAGTAAATCTTAGATTTACAGTGTAAATTCTTTATTTACCAACAAACACTAAACACAGTATGTGTTGTCCTGTAAATCTTGAATTTTTGGTATAAATACTCTCTATTTGCAACATAACATTAATTGGTAAATCTTGGACAATATAAATCTTGAATTTATGGCGTAAATCTTTGACGTACGATATAAATATTGGATTTACTAACATAACATCAATCGGCAAATCTTGGATTTACTCACATTGCGCTGGTTAAAGATCGGGTTGGAAATAAGTCAGCCATCATCAAACGTGAAACAATTCACTAGCCATTGGAGCTACGGTAACTCTTTAAGAAATTAATTCTGAAGTTGTCTTTAGTCAAATGCCATGCATCAAATCCATGGTCCATGCTGAGGCAATGTATGGTTATACATCTTTATCGGAATTAGGGCTGTACATGTATTGAGTTGGTGCGAGATAGGATTTTTTCTTGTCTCGCCCCATAGGATGCGGGTTGCACATATATGGCCCCAACGATTTTAGAAAAATTTCACAACCCAATGATGTTTGGGTTGGGGCGGGACGGGGCGGGACGGGTTGGGTTGGGGCGGGACGAGGTGGGTTGGGTGGTCGGGTTCACTATTCAAAGAATTAAAGTTCAATCCAACATTCAAAGTTCATCATCAAATAGAAATAATAACTCCAACATAAGTTCATAATCAAATAATATTGATCATCAAATAGAAATAATACTGATAATCAAACATAACTCCAACATTCAAAGTTCATCATCAAATAGAAATAATACTGGTTAGTTCATCATCAAATAGATAGCAAAATAGTTCATCCAACATCAAACATATAGCAAAATAGTTCATCCAACATCAAACATAAAGCAAACATAAATTATAGGCTTAATTCAAATCCATCCAAAGCAAGCACTGCAACAACCATCATTATCAGTCCACACTCATAGGCTCCTTATCAGGCATGTTTGTGCGGGTTGGCTCGGAGTGTGCGGGTTATTATATGCCCAACCCACAAATCACCCCAAACACCTCAGGCCAGACATTTAGTGGGCCGAAAAATAAAAAATAACATTATAAGTTGCCTTTTTCAGGTTAAATTTGAGTGGGGTGGATTGGATTTGCGGGTTGTTCGTGTTTATGTACAGCCCTAATCGAAATGCAAATATGCTCTTAATGATGTATGCACTTGGTAACTACCTCAATTGCAAAAAAGAACCATTGTAAACTCATGTAATCATGCAATTTACATCCACGTTTGATCCCTTTCATTCTGTCATCGTCAATTATGCAGTTGTTTCAACGTTTACATGGATAATTTAATTATTTTCTTATAACATAGGCCTGTTTATCTGCAAGGAAATAATAGCTCTTCCATAAAATAACTTCAGATCACCTTGTATTTGCAGCATTGCAACTTGCTAGGACTCGGCCGTTGAGGCAAAGATCCATGACCCGCCATCAAATGCTGTTTTGCGTGCTCCGCAATGAATCAGCAATCAGCTGTTGCAAAGTCCAGAGATACGTTGCCATTGTAACAAAATAATTCTCAAACAACTAAGTCGGGGTTCTCTTTTCGTCTAGGCATATTCTGCAGCACTGCACCGCATTGTAATTCCACTAGTTCTTTATGCTTGTAAGTTCTATCTATGGATGGTTAGTGGCAATAAATATATCAGAAACTGGATACGACAGAACAATGATTGTTATTTTATATTCTCTATTGTTGTTTCGGAATGGCAAATGTTGTTATTATTATTTTATAGTTTTTTTCCCCTTGACATCTCTTTGAGGAGGCAGCAACTGAGCATAATTGTAACAGAAGGCCAAAAGCTGTGCCCATATATAACTGTGTCAACAAAATGTGGTTGCAAATCTTTGTGAACTGATTAGAGCAAATAGAAGTGTCACAAAATTACAAATTGAAGAATACATCAAAAGTAGATGATATGCATCACGCGACATGAAAACACTCAATATACAGAAATGATAAATACATCTCTATCTTTTCTTATTTCAGGAAAGGGGAACGGATTTATGGAAAAATTCATCGTCCCCCAAGTTGAATGAATATGACGCCAAGAGAATGGAGATCAGAAAATTACCGTACAAAAAGGGAAGAGAAATTGTTTGCTCACAAAAATGAAACTTTGAATTTCCAGGCTTCCAGCTTCTCATGGTCCTCAGATATGACGAATTCAGAGTTGAAAACGTCCACATCATATGATGATCAGGTGATGAAATCCAGTCGGGTTATTCTACTAATCATGATGGAGAAAAACCAACAGATGCTGCTAATTCCTCTAGTTGCTTCTTCCCAAGGTTGGCTACAAGTTCCATGGAGATGAAGTGCTTTGGTATATTTGCAAAGTCTTCTACCTTGAAATCATAAACTGGCTGAAGCTCTTTTGCTTCCAGATCTGCTGCTTCAGCCTCAGCAAGGAGGAGATTAGCTTCTTCTAGATTCCCAAGCTCCAAAGCCGCCACTCTTTCTGCTGTAGCAGAACCGGCTGTCAAAAGCAGCCTCTCAAATCTCGCCATTGCTACCTCTTTTTCCTTGGACAAAACTAGAACCTCTGTCTCCTGAAGTTTCTCAATAGTGTCTTCAATTTCTCCCTCAATCTTGTCAAGCTCTGAGATGGCTGTATCCATGTAAATCTGTACGCTATCCTTTTCAATTGTCAATGACTTTGCCTCAGCAGCTATTCGCGCAGCTTCCTTAAAATTTCGTGCAGCCGCCGCCACTTTCTTTTCTGCTTCCAGCTCCGGTACTCTTTTGTCTATGAACATAATCTTTTGCTTGGACGTTGCTATATCTTGCTGGATGCTAGATTTTCTTGTAGATAGCTCCTAGATGTAGTGGAAAGATATCAATTTTCAGCCAGCGGCATTCTCATGAAGCAAGATAAAAATTTGCCAAAATAGGAAGGTTTATAAAGCTCAAATTGATTGGCAACTGCATGTCTCATCTAAGTTTATTTTGAACTGCCAAACATTTTATGGAACCATTTGATGCTCGAATTAAAATGTGGAACAAAAAGACAAAAAAGTCCAGGAGTACAAGTTATGAAAAGGGGGGAGAAAAATGGCAAAGTCCAGTGGGCAAGTCTCTACACCTCGATTTATAAGATCAAAAAAGAACTTAATTGTCAAAGCAGGAAATATTCGAGAATAATAGCTATAAATTGATCTTATTGCACGTGCAAAAAAAATCCTCAATAAAGAGGAATTGCTCTTGTATTAATGGATTAATAACTATGGCCGACTACTATCAAGGTGCTGTGTAATACATTTTAAATGAGTTCGTTGCAGATGTAGGGAATTTGATATTTATGTAGTAAAGCTTTCCATATTGGTTTCCTTCAACATCATAATAAAAAAATAACTATAGGAGTAACTACAATTTTTAAGTGAAATGGTCGATAGAACGGAAGGAAAACTGGGAAACTAACCTGCAGTGTAGATCTTGAGCTCGAAATCACCTGTTGGAGCATTTGGACCTCATCAGAAAGTTTCTCCTCAGCCCTTGCAAGCCTCACCCTATCTTCCCTAGATTTCAAAACAGAAACCATCAGATTCTTTCTAAGCCTAACAACTTCCTCGTATGCCTTTGCTTCCTCTGCAGAAACATTAGCAAGTTCCCTCAATTTTGCTCCCTTCTCTTTCTCCTGAGTGAGGAGCTCATTAATTTCCTTCTTTTTTGTTGACAAGGCTTCGCTCTCTAAGTCTAGGATGGAAAGGCCAGATTGCAAGTCACCAACCTTTGAATCAATATTTGATTGCATCTCCCGAAAACCAGAGACGACATCACCGATCCTCTTGTCAACTGCTTTTATGTTGCATTCGGTCTCTGCAATTTCGTGTTCCTTTTGCTTCACAAGAAGAAGTAACTGTTGCAGTTCATCCATCAAAGCATCCTTTTTCTTACAAAGAGACTCTCTTTCTTTCCTGTCATCCTCAATTGAGTGCTCAATGGAAGTATCTAAAAAAGTATGAGCTTCACTCACGATGTGCGATTCAATTTCTAATTCCAACTTCTTGGCTTCCAATGCCTCGGTTGACGAGAGCCATTCATCCATTTGTTTTGAAGACACTTCTTGTGCTGTCCGTATAATCAAATCTGCTTTATTTGAAGCATCCTGTGTAATAAATTCATGTGCATAAGGATTGGTCTTTTCATACCAAATACACAAACTCATAAACATATAGTTATGAACTTATGGGGACAACCATAATTCACATAAGTTGGAAAATCATTAAATGAAAGACTAGAAAGCAAAATCACGGACAATTTGACATAATTCAAGGACATATGCCTTGGGTGCCACTACCAAGCAAAATCCTTCTTATAGATTTTAATAAGAAAAAGAGCAGTAACAATTCGTGCACTTAAGTATTGGATGTAATTTCATTTGCGGAACTCATGAACATCAGGTTATAAAAATCCAACTGTCATCGAAAATTCATGCACATAATAATTGGATGCCATTCCATTTCCACAGAGAAATTCATAAGCATCTTAAGAAACTCGTGCAAATCTGGTCAACAATCGTGAAATCTGTAACTTTGCAAATCTTGGGTCTTTTTGCATTGCAGTCTCTCCAAGAAGTGACTTTACAATGCAAAAGCACCATTTCTAATCTCATTCTTTAAGGAAAAAGACTATATGATTCTCATAATTTGAACTCATTCCACATAGAAAAAATTCACAAACATCTAGTCAATTATGGTTAAATCAGTTCCCTAACTCAAACAAATTCAAAAAGCATACTTTTCCTATATAATAAATTACTAAAACAGACACCAAACCTTTGCAAATTGATTGAGCAGAGAAGCGCACTCCTCCTCGGCGGCAATCTGCGATGCCAAGACCTCCTCCATCCTCAAATCAACGGCATCGCATTCGGCCTCGGCATCCCTGAGAACCGCCACAAGAGACTGTCTCTCCCCCTCGGCGGCCGCCAAGCGGTCGCTGAGCCTCTCGGCCGTCTCGAAATCCTCTGACTCGCACGCCTCATTCAGCCGCCTCTCCAGCTCCGCATAGGCCTCCGAAGCCCCGCGCAGCCTCTCCGCCGCCTTTCTCCTCCTCGCGATCGCCTCCTTTCGGGATTCCGAAACCGCCGCCGCAGATCGCCGCCCGTGTTCCAGCTTCTCCAAAATCTTCGCCTTGATTTGCTCCAATCGAACCTCATCGTGATCACCATCCCGACCCTGACCATCACGAAAATCGTGATCCCGATCGTCTTTGTACGAGTAGTCACCATTAGCAGTCGTCTCCGGTACGGTACCGGCATCGACTTGGTGTTGGGCCTGGGCCAGGGTCTCATCGGAGCCGACTTGGGCCTGGACCAGGGTCTCATCGGAGCCGACTTGGGCCTGGGCTAGGGTCTCATCGGAGCCGACTTGGGCCTGGGCCGGGGTCGGGCTCGGAGCCTCATCGGCGGGGGAATCCCTGCCGTATCCGATCCTCAAAGAAGCCCTCTTTTTCTTCCGGGAAACCTGGCGAGAAACAGAGGGGATTTCTTCCGTCGTAGTGGGGAGCGGAGAGATGATTGTGAGATCGGAGAAGAGGCCCTCGTCGAGGGGCTGAGACGACTCCGTTTCGAGGCTGCTTGGAGCGTCACCATCGGGAATTTCAGCCTTCCGATCATCGCCATCGTCGGCGAGCTTTGGTTGTACGGCGTTATCAATTTGTTCATCTTGTTGTTGTTGTTGTTGTTGTGGCTGTTCATCTTCTTGTTCCAAGTAAGAAGAGTTGGGAGTGAAGAGGACCATGCCCTCGAAGAGTGAGTCGGTATCGTCCATTGAATTAAAGGGTTTTCTTCTTCTGATCTCTCGAAGTCAAAAATAGTTACTGGTTCGTCTTCTTCTTCTTGGTCTTCGACCAACTAACACTCCAAATGCTCTCTCTGAATCGACATTCTGGCCTTGAACCTTTCCGTAGAGGAGACGGACCTTAGTTTGAGTTGGCTTGGGCGTAAGTTTAGAGTTACCTACCCAAAAAAACGGGAATACCATTTCTGAATTTACCGATGGGTCTCAATTTTTAGTCAATACCATTTTAATTAATATAATTATTTAATTAAAAAAATATTAATAAAAAATAATAGAGAAAAATTTAAACACATATAGAGAATATTTGTTTGTTTTTTTTCTCATGATTTATTTATGTCACTCCAATAAAAATTAAATAACTATCATTAAATTTATAAAAAAATAAAAAGCTACAATAATATTTAATTATTTAAAATGATATAAATAATAAACTTATTATGTACTTTTTTTGCTACCCTAATTGGGCCTAGAGTTGAAAATTTGGGCCGCCCACCCCGGCCCGGCGGCCCGAAAGTGTAGTTTGGGGGCCGGCCTGATCCTAAATAATTTTATATAAGTCCAGCCCGGCCCTAAGGCCCGACGGGCCTAGGACCAGGCTAATGCGGGCCGGGCCAGCCCGAATTAGCTTAGCCCGGCCCGAACATGATTTATAAAAATTAAAAAAAAGATGAAATTTATAATAAATAGTGAATATTATAAAATTTTAATGGAATAAGACTTTATTTATGTAATTATAATTGTCTCGTTAAAAACCTTACCAAGAAAAACCCATTGGGATAAAACCTTGGTAAGGAAAAAAGAGTGAAGTCTTATTTTCACAGTTACAATTTATATATACTTAAGAAACAAAAATATCTAAATGCCTGCTACACTACTCTCGGCATCAAAAGCGTCATCGTCAATATATAAGTTTTGAAATTGATCCATTAAATTGTTGTCTTCGGCTGTGTGTTGCATTCGCAAAGAAGCATTTTCTCAATCTTTTAGACATATTAGCACCTCAACCATTTCTGGAGTCAACGAAGTCCTTCTTTCTTCAATTATCCTCCCAGCTGTGCTAAAGGCAGATTCTGAAGACACCGTTGATACTGGAATAGTCAAGATATCACGTGCTAATATTGAAAGTACTGGAAATCTTACACCTTGTAGCCTCCACCATGCCAAAATTTGAAAATTGTCATCATTATCAGCACCATCTATCACCGAGAATTATGTCTCAAGGTATCTGTTGAGCTCCATATATTGTGTCGTCGTTGGTGCTGATGGTGGTGGCATGACACTTGGAGTCGCAGTTGATGACGAACTAGAGCCACCACGATGAGAGGATATAAAATTCTAAAACTTCTTTTTTGAGCGGGCCGGCTGATCTTGTTGTGTTTGTTGAGTTGTCAAGTTACCGAACTTGTTCTCGTAAATTGCATAAATCTCAAACAACTTCTCACGTGTGTTAACAACCTGTGAAGTATAATCTATATCCTACTGGCCACCGCTATGAGAAAGAACATTTCCAAGACCGGATAATTTTACTCTAGGATCCAAAATAATAGCTAAACAATGCAACAGAGGAATTTCATACCAATGTTTCCTAAAACTTTGCTTCCATTTTTTCTACTATCGATTTAAATAACATATCATTTCTATACGTTTCAAATAAGTCTGTAATCTCACAAATTTGATGCAACACTAATGGAGAAGTAGGATAATAAATACCAGATAATAAAACAGTAGAATCATAAAAAACCTCCAAAAAAGACGCAAATCGTTCGCAAATAAACCAGTCATCTTCTTGCAACATTGTTTTGCCCATTTTTGTATTGAAAAAAATAGTGATAATATTTTTA